CGAACTAAGTTTGATCGTTTTTGACACTGAGGTTTATCCCCACTTTGCCAGCAAACTGCAGCAGATTAACAGTGAGTGAGCATCGTAACTATGTTTATACAAGAAAAGATGTCATGCCAAAAACGCTCACAGTAGTTAGTGAGTAAACTCACGACCTGTCATGACTGGGTTGAGTGACTTCCTCCAATCAACGTGAAAGGATTACCCACAGAGAAAGAAAGGATTAAAGTCACCCACAAATCTTATCCTAACCCCTCTCATCCAAAACTTAATAAACCAAAATATCAGCCCCAAAAACCAAGCTCTAGCTCGTAAACACCCATTACTTACTCCAATATCCCAAAGAATAACAAACTACCTAAATGAACACCAAATTAAAAATCTTAAAGAAAACTGCAAACAATCAACTATCTTCACCCCTAAACTTGAAAAAGACACAACACTAGCTAGCCAAATAAATAAACAAACCGACCCAAACATAGCTAACACCACCACACTAGCATACATACACGAAAATTGGCCAAATTGGTGTCACATTTACAAGGACGGATCTTCAGATCCGACCTCCAAACACACAGGTTTCGGAGTCCATACCACACAACCAACTAAAACCACACAATCCTTTCGACTCCCCAAAAAACAATCAATATTCACGGCAGAACTAATGAGCATGGCCTCAGCCCTCCATAATCAAGAATCCCAAAACCACAAAAAAAATCCTAATACTTACCGACTCTCTAAGTGGACTGCAAGCCCTCCAAAACAAAAATACCAAAAACCGACCTAAATCAATAAATCAAATACTTAAAAGCTCCAACGACCTAACTAAGGCAGGCAAACAAATAACCTTCTTGTGGATACCCGCCCACGTAGGAATATACGGTAATGAAAACGCCGATAAGGCAGCTAAACTATCCCTCAAAATCCCAGAAATAAGCTTAAACTTAACCATCTCAAAATCAGAAATTAAAAGCGTTAACAAGCAAAAAATCACCAAAAAATGGCATAATCTATATCTAAACTCAAATAGCCAAGTCAAAAAAGTATTTAGCAAACCACTAACCAGACCAAAAATTCTCCATCCATCAAAAAAAATCGACAGAGTAATCACTAAACTCCAAACAGGACACAACTACCTAAATAACCACCTAAAAAAATTAAAAAAACACACTACAGGTAACTGCCCACACTGCAAACAACTAGAAACCCCAGAACACGCACTCATCCACTGCACACTCTACCTTACACATCGAACCGCATTACAAACCACCCTCAATCTAAACAAGGCTCTCACTCTAGAAGTTATACTAAACCCACCAAATAAACTAGAAAACTTCAAGGCCTTAGGCGTATTCTTAATCAACACGTAACTAATAAAACGCATCTAAAAACACTATAATCTACCAAATCAAAATCACATAAACAAACAAACATCCACCATACCCAGCTCCCTTAGTTCTCCTCCCCAACCCCATCGGCATCTATTCCAAATCTCAAAATTCCCAAATTCTATATAAGCATCCCCTAAAGCCCCCTCTTGGGTTGCACACACCACTTTCGCCACTTTCGGAAACACATTAAATGGCCTGGCCGGGCCCGTGTGCGAAATACGCATCAGTCGGAAAGCGCACGTTAAATCTCCAAAGTAAGTAAGTAAGTAAGTTATCCTAACGTAGTACTCCAACTTCTAAATGCCTCTCAAAGAAGGATTAAAATCCTAAAGATATCCTATCTCCGTTGTATAGGTACTCACAACCTCTAATCATAAACAGTTACGTTTGGTATCCCCAGCAATACTCACTATGGTCATTTGGCAAATGTAAAAATCACAAACCCTAACGAGATTCTGTCTACATGGTCACACCCGGTGATTGTGAAGATCTCAAATTCTATCAACAGTCAGACAGCATGGTTGTTAAAATTCATTTCCAACATCCTCTTATAAAAAGTATAAAAGTGTCCCACACAAAACTTTCTTTTATTTATTCTTTCAAAATACAAAACCGAAAGTGGGGTGTGGGGAAATGGGACATATTCCTACGTGAAATAATGAGACATTAGTAGTGGTGACGGCTATATCATAATTGTACTGTCTAAAGCATAAATTTGGCGAACGAAAAACGTTATATTTGCAATCAAGTGGAATGACTCAGGTGGGCAAAATGAACATGTTCGCAATCCACAAACAATCATTTTATTAATGGCGAACATTTACCAACCCGCGACAATCGTGTCAACACGGGGGTTCCCCTAGCAATAAACTCGCATCTAAATTCACTACTGTTCTACTGTCGGCTAGCCACAATGGCTAGACTGGACCCTAGTGGAATGGTTCATGCCATAAAAGTCTAGCAACCGAACACTAATTAAGACGGGCCGACCTTGTATTTATGGTCTGGTGAACACAGCTCAATGGCCGCTCATTAACTCAAATTTCACATCTCACTGTTTTGTTTTATCTCACTATTCATTTGATAAATTTGTCAACTTCAACTAGAACACGGTCCCGTGTTACACGCGTGTGCAACGAGTGACCCACGCGTGTGCAACGGGTTGCACACGTGCTGCACACCCGTTGCACACCCGTTGCACACCCGTGTCCAACGGGTGCTCAACCCGTGTGCAACCCGTTGAGGACCCGTGTCACATGCTTGTAACACGCGTTCTCAACGCGTGTTAGGGGAATGAACTTCTAGGCAGTAGTGTATGTTTCCGCAAATATAAAATGTTTGACTCATTAAATTGCCTAGAGTCTTATGATAGCTCATGGCCGGCTCATGGGCCAATCTGGTGGTGTTGTTGACCTCTGTATTCGGCACAACTCCACTTTCTTGACATGGACTGAGCCAGCCTATCAATACATCGGGTAGACAAATAAAGCGCTTCAAGTAATATTTGCTAGAGTATAACATTCCTGTAACCCTGGTATTTGCCTTATGGAAATCCAATGCTCTTCAACACTGTCCTTTTTAACAATCGATGATAGGTGGAAATTCAACAATCTGGTTCAATTCATAACGACAAAAAGAGTCATCATGAAAATAATTATTCCGAAAACATTTCCAAGTACGATTCATAGGTTCGATTCCTGGTGATCGAGGCTCCTGACAAACAACATGTAAAATTAAATCCATTTGAGATTTCAAAAACTATTAATGGGCATTGTGGAGAAGTGAAAAATGTAGCTTATCTCTGTTGTGGCTCCATTCTTGTGGAGTGTGTGAAGAAACAGCAATTTATCTCTTTATCTCTTGTCTATCAGTCAGTTTGCTAATGTTGAGGTTGCTGTTTCAGCACATAAGACACTCAACTCCATTTGGGGCATTGTTCGTGACAGACATCGGCCGGTGCTTTCCGACATATCCGAACAAGATTTTTTTGTATAGCTGAAGGATCAAGCAGTGACATCTGTAAAAAGTTTTACAAAAAGAAGGGTGTCCATGGAAGTGACAATACCATCTATCTCTTAAGTTTGTGACCTATGAAACTTCCTCGTCGTAGTAAAGCTGGAAATGTTAACATCGGAGTGGAGGTGTATGTCCCCAATCCACTGTGATGTTATAGTTGTCACCATTTTTACCACGGTTCGACGGGTTGATACAAAACAGGAACGTTATATTTACTTCTGAAGCCAAGGCTATTCAAAGAGCCCTGGAATATATTCAGAAACAAAATGCATGTAAAACCATTTCCTGTGTGCTGCCCGTGATGGTTGCCTGTCTCGGGCCACCGTCTGTCTGTTGTCTTTGCTAACCACCTCTATATTTATGAGGTAGCAGGTCTCTGACCTTTTGACCTGGGCGCTCCGAGTTCGCCGCGTGGAGGACGTAAACGTGATTATGAGTGGGCTTAAGTCCCATACTATCTATCTCGGTCCTTGACATTGACCACAGTTTCGCCTGGCCATGTTGTGACCACATGGTTATACCTCCTTGCTGTTGGGTCAACATCTCTGCTTGAGCCAACAATGTAATAAACCTGTTTACTTAGTCCAGCATGTGTGACTGTGTAGACTGACCCTCAGCTAGACGAGTTATGTAACCGATTCAAGTTCAGCTCACCATACATGCCAAACCAAGCTGAGCTTGCCAAGAATACGTTTAAGCTGTCTATATTCTCTTAGAGAATTTTGCAGAAATGTATTGAACTCTTTGAGTTTGTCACTGAGTTGGGAAACTATACAGACAGTTGCATTGGAGTCAAACAAAAATCTTCACTTCTATAATAGTTGTTACAGACTTAATACAAGTATACTTGTAGATACACCCATTGGGAGTCTGATGGGAAGCAGCGTAAGGTCCAGGTCACTCAGAGTGAATTATCCTGTGTACACGATTCCTTGGATATTATTTTCTTGAAATTGATGATAATTTGTACACTGACATCCAGTGAGGGTTCTCGATCAATATTTGGAGGACCTCTCTTGACTCTGAACATGACTCGCATTTCGTGACATTTCCGATTCATTTGAAGAGTTATGGAAAACTCAACTATCCAAATACATGTCATATGTCAAATACACCACTGAGGTGTGCAACTAGAACATTCTAGGATATGATTAGCTGACCTTGAGGGTCAAGATTGGCCTGATATCCATGCTGCTTTCTGGATCGCTCTTCTTCATGCGATCTTCAAATCTGGTTATTCTCTTGGTTTACCTTTTATATTTATGGAGGTAATTAGAGAAACAGAAAATTTATGCTAAATATGTACTGCATTTGGTATGTGTCTATAGTCCAAACCCAAAGTAATGTGATTCCACCAAGATAGGATATGCCTTTGTTATGAACGTAGTTCGAGGAATCAGCAAGTTTCTTGTTTTCACCTTACCTGTAATATAGCAAGAAGTAATATGTGCGTAAGGTATCTGTTTCACATATTGTTGGCATTTAAGCTGAAAAAAGTGGGGTTCACGTCCCCTTAAACACTGAATTTCTTTTCCCACCACACCTGCACTCTTTAAAACAAAGATCATTAGTCTTTACATATTTTCCTTGCAGGTGAAAATATTTCAAATGGAAAATATGCAAAACAGAGTAGTACCTCTTCGATCTACGATGCTAGTCGGGCTTTAAATAAATCATATGTGTCATCTGGATCACTAACAAAATTTGCCAGCCCGTCCTGGTGGGAGGTCGACCTGAGGGGCTACTTCACCATCAGCAGCATCACCCTCACAGCAGCCACCTACGGGAGATGGAGTAAGTTCATACAGAACACGTCACTTTTGTTTCATTGGGTGATAATGTAGAAACATATATAAAATAGGTTGCACACCATATATCCCACGAATTATTTTATATCAGTTTCAGCGCAATTCAATAACCAAAATAAATTGTGTAGGATGTCACTAGTGATATTTTTCAAGATTTACACACTCTCAGGTTATCTGAACTCTTTCCATACAGTGTTGTTAAATGGGAATAGTGCATCACAACACTAGTTTTGCATCAGCAGATCAGCAACAGGGGATCTTATGTTTGACACGTGCACTGGGATATTCCTTTGTTTGCAGATGTTTACATGAGAAATGCCTTCGTGGAGGTGATGGACAAAGATGTCAGTCTCTGCTCTGATGTCCAGTCGGAGTGGTGTGGGAATGTGTCCAGCACTGTCACTGCTGGGGAAGAGTTCACCTTTACCTGCAATGCTACATTCCCTGTCCGCTTTGTCCGTATCACAAGGCCATTTACCACCAATGTACACCTCGTTATCGGACATGTGGATGTTCAAGGGGAGGGGGCTAAGAAGCCATATCGTGAGTAAACCATTGATTCACCGTTGGCTTCACAAAAGTCAAATCGGTTCAAAGTCATAATCCCCTATATGTTTGAGCACGGTTAGAGTGAGTGAGTTAAAATGTTTTAGCTTTGTATCTGGTTTAAGTCAGGCCCAATTCTATAACAACTGGTCGTGAGAGGCGACTTAACTGATCGGGTTGTCAGTCGCGAAGACTTTTCTGATTGCATGTCATCATACCCGATGTAGTGGGACGTTCATCATAACATAAATGACTGATTTGCCTTCCTGACTCTAAAAAGTAACTATATTTTATAGGTTCCTACTACAAACCGTTGAAGAACAAGAAGGTGTCTCAGCCGTTCCTAACCACGTCAGCCATAACAGCCGGAGACTGTGGCATCATTTGTCACCGATATAATTCATGCATCGACTTCAGCTACAGTGCAGTGTCGCCGACCAATGAGAACTGTCTGCTTTCTGACAAAGTGTTGTCTTCATCTGAAGATAACTTTTGGACAACTTACACTAGCTTCTGTATGTAAACATTCAACCAAAATATAGCAAGCTTCTCCCACACTTTATGACAACTATGTTTAAAATATAAATATACTCTCGTTGACCCTAAAACAAGCTTCACTTTAAGATTATCATTTTGTAAGTTGTCTAGTATTTCTCCAAAAATTGATATGGTTTCAACCAAATATCATGTTTGCCATGGTGTCATATGGGACTGGGGTCGAATGGTTCTCATAAACGTTTGTGATTAATTGGATTAACTCGGTGACTTGTTAATTTCGTTTCATTCTACAATGACGGTTTTGCAATGCTGATTGATGAGTTGACGCGAAATGACGTCACATTTACCATTGGGCATTTGAGGTCACCCATTGCATTCAACGTCACCTTATGCAATCAGACCATACGCTAACTCGGATTGAAAGTCATCAATTTTCGCCACACCCAATGATGATAATGACAAACTCTTTGCACCAAACATTCAGATCGGTAGGTCGAAATATGACAAAAATGTAAAGTCCACCATATGTATTTCCTCAATGTTAAGTAGGCAGGGAAAAGAGTTGGAATTGTTTAATATTACCTCCCTGTCTGGTATACAGTATGACATACATGTACCCACTTTCACAAACAATTGATTTGATGACTGACTATGCGCTCAAATATATACGCTGAGTACCTCCTGGCATATATTAATAATAAATGTTGTCCGATCGACCAGTTTGTCGCACTTTTACTAGTTGGCGTTTACCAACCAATGAACAAAGTAAAAGTGAGTGAGTGAGTGAGTTGGGTTTAACGCCGCTTTATACACTATTCAAGTTATATCACAGCGTGTCAGCTTAATGTGGGAGGAAAGCCCCAAGCGATGCAAGTCTTAGACGTTTACCTCTTACTGACAAACCAAGAAACATAATCGGGGCGAACCGGGGTTCGAACCCACAATCATAGGTTTCTGGCGTGTCCAAGGGACACAACTCTGCACAGCGAATCACGGCGCCTCAGACGACTGGACCATCCGTGCACCCCACACAAAGTAAGACATTTTTCACCAAGTTAGGTCGTCGGTTACATGAACATTATTTCATTTATTTCATGATGCTGGGATTTTATCAAAAAATTTTATGAAATTGTCGACGAAAATTCTTGAAAAACAATAACTATGCCTTAGACTGTTGGAAAAAATGTAATTGATGCAAGGTGTTTCACATAAAAGCTGAAAAACAATGTCTGATCTTGACACGAAAGACAAGGCACCCTTCCTCACTTATAGTGTAGAATAATAATTATATTCTATATATTGAAACACTTTGAGCACTAAAATGAATGTATTTTTTTATTTTGTCCATATGAGTAGTTATACAACTTGAGCAGTTATCACATTAAAGGTACTGTTTTTTACCGTTATCGCTTTGTATTCAAAAGCAACGGATAGGCGAGAGGCTATTGGAAGTAATAGGAATATTGATATTTGTTGGGTTCGATGTCTAAAGTTGTGAAATGGCTGAAATCTACTAAAGGTGCAAGAATCGTTTATGTTAAGTTTGCTGAAATACATATTACCTAATGTATGGCAACACGCATTTACTACTGACACATTAAAGCAACTTTTCTCTTGATCTGACAATGCACCAAGGATACTAAACACTGTGATTTTCAATATCGATTTTTCCATCAAACTAGATATACCAAGAGAGAATTACTTGCAATGAAGCGGAATTTTAAACAAGTGAATCATATCATGGCTTGTTAAATATATTTTCACTATCTGTATCAAAGGGATACTCCTAATTTCTATCCTTCATACAAAAATTCTAAAAACTACAGAAATGTTTTTTGGTAGGAAGAATGACGAACATTGTGTTTTTGCAAGAAAATGGACAACTTTGAATGTTGAATTTGAACAAGAACGTGAATGTTAATGATATATTCCATTGTATCTCACATGGAATCATAATGACACACTCTATGAGTCTCTGTATATGTTTTGTATGTGATTTGTATCTACACCTGCTGATGTGAATAAACCGTTTTTCTATAACACTATGAAAGCATTTTATTTGCTGTTTCTTATGACAAAATGCCATGGGTTAACCTGGACCAAATTATTCTGGTCCTGTTGACAACGATACTGCCTAACTGTCAGGATGTTCGAGCTGTAATGGCCAGCTGCAACAGTGTTAACCATTATGTACTGGTGTGAGGCTATTCACAACATAAATGTCAGGTTGACAACTATAATGCGCTGAAGGCAGGTTGTTATGAACCATACATTTCGGCTGCCAGTCTGATAACAACAATACTGTCCCGTTGTCAGGCAGTAGACAACCAATATGTCCCGCTGTCAAGACTACAATGTTCAGCTGTTTGGCGAAAGCGCACGATTCCGAATAAACCTACAGGTAATTATGTTCTAAATATGTCTCACTGTCAGGATGTAAGAACAATAATGTTCCTGTCAGGCTTTATTTTAGAAACATTCAGCCAGAAAATATTTGCTACCTCTTCCAGCAGTTCTGATAAATGCCTGCCTTACACAGGAGTAGTAATGGTGACTTGGCAAATAACATCAGAACTGACCTCACCCACCAGTGCTGATAACTTACTTCCTTACGCCTAAGTCGTAAAGATAACTTGGCTAATAACTTACAGGGTACATGTCATCGTATCCCAATTGTGTAGATCGATGCTCGTGATGTCAATTGCTGGATTTTCTGGTCCAGACTCTATTGTATACCAATACCAATTGCTTTCAACAATAAACAAACAAAGAAACAAACGAACATTCATTATTACTCCAAACCCTATTGTTTGACCCTAGGCCTATTACTACATAGTGGCAGCGCGTGTGAGACACACATTTCGTACTCAAACACAAATGCAGAGAGAGGAAAGAAATAGGAATGGAACAGTGGAGTGAAGGAAATATTATTCATTACGGTATTCATGGATATGGATTGACACTGACACTGATACACAATAACAAACTTGATCGTAACTGTTGCAAGAATCTCGTCTTGGTTGAAAAAATGATATATGAAGATAATGTGAATTGTAAATAACTCTTCGCGGTAAGTAAACAAAACACTTGTAGGCCTAATACATCGGAGTTGTTTGCATATTCAGGACTGTGACAAAGAGCGTGCGAAACGGGCAACACAATATTGGAATTTTAAGGACTTTCTTGTCCTGCAATGTTATTGAAAAATCTCAATATAGATCATGTACCTCGGATTCACTGGTCTAGTGAGCGTTTGAGTTATTTTTTAAAGTGACGGCGGGAAGTAATAGGTCATACCTCCTAATTGGGGATCATGGGTAATTACAGCAGGATTTATGTCACCGGTTGTCTGTACTTTATGCTTGCCAAGCACAAAACAAATTCTTAAACACAAGTTGGTATCACATACGATGGTCAAGGATGGATTATGTGCCACTGGCAAGGAGATTATACTTTGAAACTACTCGTATACTACTACACGTTACATCATCATAGATCATCCGGGTTGGGGAGAAAGTCATGCTATACACGTATGAAATTATTCAAAATGTATCTAATAATGCTATGTCTTACCGACACTAGTAAGATGATCCTTCAAAGAATTTGAAAGGGCATACCTCAATGTTCTACATATGCTTGACTGCTTCTCTGAACACAAGACACACAGTGGAGGATCCTCTCCTTTCAATAAATAAAGATGTGTGTACGTAGTGTGATAAATACGTCGTAAAATGACCTCTACAAATGTTGACTGAAACCCTAGTGGGAACAACACAGATTTGATTTAATGTGATGAAGTTTATTACTACCCACCTTTTTTGCTTAAGACCTTTGATGAAGCATCTAATTACAGGATTGATGTCACTTGGGACAAGAAGTGGCGTCACCTACTTGTTGAGTACTGCTTTTGTTGAAGCATTATCCTCCATCGGGTTACAAACGATTCCAACATGACTGGTTAGGAAACAAAAGATGATGTCATGTTGGCCAGTTACAAGTACATTTGCTTCTGCTATGAACATGGAGTTGTTATCCCGTAATCTTCATCATTTTGGATCCACTAACACTGGCCCTATCAACGACGTCAACACCCGTGGATTCCTCTGTAAATACAAATGTGTATGTGTAGGTATGACAAAGATACATCTGTTATGCCTTAAGGGAAGTATGAAATAAGCTGATGAGTATCTCCTTTTTCTTGAAAAGCACATTATCTGAAGTTTGTTACACATTGATACACATTCGTCTCCAACAACATCATTTTGTTCTGTGATATTTCGACTTTTAATAGACATTGAATTTTAATTACAAACCCACAGCTACAACAAAGGGCAAATCCCTTTTCTAAAATCGCTTACTTGAGACTTCATGGCAGCAGCTAAAATGGTTAAAAAAGACATTGTGACCAAATGACAACTGTTTATTTTGTTTTCAGTTTCAGATTATCGGCATACACAGTAGGTGGGCTTAAGAAGTACTTGCATTTGCATGTCTAAATCGCAAGTTCTAAAGTTTGGAATTTATGTCAAAATAGCTAGTAACCAAGTAAGGATAAGATTTATGGATAAACAACTATCATATTCAGTGCAGGTTCTGACACCGTTATCAGGCAAGTGTAGTGTTAGAACCTCCACCAAAACGTCGCTCTTAATTGTAATAAAGAAGTTGTTCATCCATAAATCATATCCTTACTTAATACTCCAACTTCTAAATGCCTATCAAAGAAGTTAGCTGGTAACTATTCATTGAAAGGAGTGGCAAGGACATTTTTAGGATCCCAAAGGCATATATTTTCAAAACATCCAAGTTTGTTTGCAGAACGCCCCTGTAGCCCAGAAGTTAATACGGCCAATCCCTAACTAAAATAAATCCAAAAGATGAAATAATGGCAATAGGAACAATCTGTGTAAGAAGAGGGTGCAGTGTGACCACGCGAGATGACGTCACACGAGCCAATCTCAGCAAGATGCTCACTGGTGGAAATTATCACTGCTCAACACCGAGAGCTACATTTCGTAACAACACATATTCAACCGCGAAATATACAGTCTGCATGTTGGGTTTTATTTGTTGTTCAACTCTGTATTCAGCAATATTCCAACTACATGATGGTGGCCTTTCAAATATCCAACCTGGACCAGACAACGCAGTATTTTATGTTATGGCCAATGTCACACATCATCGGGTGCAGCTATTATCCAAGTCACCGCTCCAGGCCAGGCAATTTATTCAGTCACTACTTGTGAAAAGCTGTCATTGGGACCTATGCTGAGCTTGGCTTACTTCATTTCATATCCTCAATTATGCTTTGACTGTTGTCTTCCAATCCTGTACTTCTTGAGCAAAATCAATGTTATAGATCAGGACAGGACATGCTTGACTATACATTGATAGTGACTGGC